GGCCTTTTGCCCAAAATGTCCTTTTTTCTCCCCAAACTGGGCAGTTCTCCCAGAAGCAGGCGGAACGCCAGGCCAGAGCCCGGGAAAGGGAACGGCGCCGGAAGGAACAGGAAGAGGCGGAGCTTCGAGCCCGGAGTGGGCGTGGTCACGACAAAAGGGGCGGAGCTTCGAGTCGGGACCGCCCATCCGGAGGCGGAGCCACTCAAACGTCGGCCAATCAGAGCTCGACCCCAGGCCCCGCCCCCAGGTCCAAGAGGCGGAGCCGCAGCCGCAGCACTCCCTTAAGGGACCGGGGGGGGCGGCGCTGAACCCAAAATCGGGGGGTTTTCACCCAAAAATTTGGGGGGCCGCCCGCGGATTGGGGCCGTTTGGGGTCTGAGCCCCTCAGGTTTGGGGTTTTGGGGTCAAAAAACCCGTTTCTTTGAGCCCAAATCCAGGCAGTTTGACCCAAAATGTGGGGGTTTAGACCTCAAAATCAACAGTTTTACCCAAAATCGGGGGGTTTTCACCCAAAATTTGGGGGGTCTGCCCTCATTTTGGGGCCTTTTGGGGTCTGAGCCCCTCAGGTTTGGGGTTTTGGGGTCAAAAAACCCATTTTTTTGAGCCCAAATCCAGGCATTTCAACCCAAAATTGGGGGCTGAGACACAAAAAACAGAGGTTTTGACCCAAATCTGGGGGTTTGGAGCCCAAAATTGGGGTTTTTCATCCCAAAATCTGGGGGGTCTACCCTCGTTTTGGGGCCGTTTGGGGTCTGAGCCCCTCAGGTTTGGGGTTTTGGGATCAAAAAATGGATGTTTTTGACTCCAGAACAGCAGATTTCGACACAAAATTGGGGGCTGAGACACAAAATCGGAGCTTTTGACCCAAATCTGGAGGTTTTGAGCCCAAACTTGGGGTTTTTCACCCAAAATTTGGGGCGTCTACCCTCATTTTGGGTCCGTCTGGGGTCTGAGCCCCTCAGGTTTGGGGTTTTGGGGTCAAAAAATGGATTTTTTGAGCCCAAATCCAGGCATTTTGACCCCAAATCTGGGGGCTGAGACACAAAATCGGAGCTTTTGACCCAAATCTGGAGGTTTTGAGCCCAAACTTGGGGTTTTTCACCCAAAATTTGGGGCGTCTACCCTCATTTTGGGGCCGTTTGGGGTCTGAGCCCCTCAGGTTTGGGGCTTGGAGGTAAAAAAAAAGTCGATTTTTTTGACCCAAAATCAAGGGATTTCAACCCAAAATCGGGGGATTAGGAGACAAAAATTGAGGGTTTTACCCCAAATTTGAAGTTTTTACCCCAAATTTGGGGTTTTTGTCCCAAACTCTGGGGTCCCACCCCGGGTTTGGGGTCTGAGCCTCTCAGATTTGGGGTTTTGGGGTCAAAAAAGCTGATTTTTTGGACCCCAAAATCCAGGCATTTCAACCCAAAATTGAGGGTTTAGACGTCAAAATTGAAGTTTTTACCCAAAATCGGGGGTTTTTCACCCAAAAATTGTGGGTTCCCAACCCGGATTTGGGACCATTTGGGTCAGAACCCCTCAGATTTGGGATTTTGGGGTAAGAAAACCCATTTTTTAACAAAAAATCGGGAGATTTATTGCTAAAATCTGGGATTTTACACCCAAAATTTGAACATTTAGACCCAAAATTCCATATTATTCTTTTTAACCAAAATGTGGAATTTTGCACTCAGAATTCGACAGTTCCGACCCCAGATTTGGGGATTTCGCCCCCAAATTCGGTGCTTTTGCCCCCAAATTTGGCTGTGAGCCCCAAATTTGGAAATTCCGCCCCCAAAATTGCAGTTTTTTGGCCCAAAACAGCGGCGCTTCCCCCCAAAAATCCGAGACTTCAAAGCCCCAATTTTGGGCTTTCCGCCCCCAAAATCTGCTGTTTTAAACCCAAAACTTGGCTGCCGACCCCAAAACTGGAGCGTTTGGACCCAAAATTGGGGATTTTCA